AATTCAATTGATGCTTCTTTTAAAACTTTTCTTTCTTCGTCATCTTTGGTTTTTAATTCCAATAATTTAGTTGCTAAGTCGGTATTCATTGTGTTCATAGCTTCGAAACTTTGTTGGATCTTGGCTCTATAAGCAAGATCTTCTTGTTGTCTTTCATCCATCTTAGCATTCAATGCTTCGATTGATTCTTGTAAAGCTTTGATTGAAGCTTCCATTTTTGGTTGTTTTCTTCTGGGTTTATAACTTATGAAAAGGGTATGTGGTTGTGTATCTTGTTAATCTTATTACTTAAGGTTTAACAAAATGTTTAATTGCTTGACAAATTGTTTAGTTGCTTCACAAATTGTTTAGTTGCTTCACAAATTGTTTAGTTGCTTCACAAATTGTTTAGTTGCTTCACAAATTGTTTAGTTGCTTCACAAATTGTTTAGTTGCTTCACAAATTGTTTAGTTGCTTCACAAATTGTTTAGTTGCTTCACAAATTGTTTAGTTGCTTCACAAATTGTTTAGTTGCTTCACAAATTGTTTAGTTGCTTCACAAATTGTTTAGTTGCTTCACAAAATAATTATTTTGTATTGTTTGATCCGGAATATTGAATATCAATGTATTAAGTATTTATCTAGGGAAACAAGCCGTAGAAGTAAATACTTAAGGTTACTAGTTATAAGCTCTATGAGGTTAATTAACTATTATAATAACTATACAGTAGTATTAAATATATAAGGATTTCTATGGTCTTCTGTTTAATAACAAAAGTGTATATCTTTACTTCAGGAACTATGCCCTTTATATACGTCATGTCAGTTATCTATTAGCGTCATTCCTTTTAACAATCATGACAGATCCTCTTTCCTTATTCCTGTCATCTTGTACTAACGTGGAATCAATACAATTGTATTGTTTTTGTATTATTTGGCCTTTAATTATTATTTAATTGTATATTGAATTTGGTATACGTTAGAATGAAGGCTGGTAAGCGTTTATTCTATAGGATCTTAAGGGTTGAGATCTGTAAGTTAAAGTAAATATACTAGTTAATAATAATAAATTTCTATATTCTTTTATGTACAAAGTAAGATACTAAATAATATACTGTCAGAAATTATGAGATGACGTAAAGTCATACTCATTAATTCAATATTAATAAGGGTGAAGAATTATATGAAACATCATTATTAATAAGGGATAAAGAAATGTTTCTAATACGAAAGTATTTACTTCTGACGTGTGAATAATATCTAAACATTGTATATAAAGACTGATAAGATCTTAATTGACACTTATCATATGTACTATATTCCCATGTGTATATTTTATACTTTAATACACCGGATCAATATCATCTAATTAAAAATGTCCTTGCAAACAACTAAACCATCAACTACTATTAATGATTCTGTAAAGAATCCACAACCCTCTGATTCTCTACAGGATCAATATCAACTTATTAAGAATGTCCTTGGAAATAAATAAAGAATCTATTACTATGAACGATTCGGTAGAAAAACCACAACATAATTCTCTACAGAAACAGGCCGTAGAAGTCAATACTTAATACATTAATATTTAATATTCCGGACCAAACAATACAACATCTTTTATTTGTCAGTTAAAATAAGTTGCTGTCAGAATGGTAAAAGCTTTAAGCTTCAATGTAAGTAGATATACGTTAAATAGGTACGTTGACCTATTACTGAGGTCAGTGAGTGGTAACTCGCTCATCCTCTTGTAACAGAGTAGTCTATATAACATAAATAGTTTTATATATCGGAACCGAAAATTTGTTCCTTTTATATATTAGAGAAATCGATACATTCACCTTGTACGAAAAATAGCAATAGTGACATAAACTTTATCCTCGAGTATCCAGGTTAAAGTCACAACATACCACCCTACTTGGTAAATTCTCGATTTATGGATTAGCCTTTTCAAAACTGGAAACTTTTCGTCCAAATTTTGATTCCAACCTAGATATGTAAAACTATCCCTACCACCCGAATTAAGAATTGACGTGATGGTGACAGATATAAAAGTCAGTCTAGATGAAAGCTAATGATAGAGTGTGGTTGAGTTCAAGCCCGGGTGCTGACAATTTTACCACCCGACCCTTCTTGAATAGTACTCAACCGGTTAGCGCCGGAACGATGGACTGAAAGTAGAATAATAGTGGATTGTAATTGTGAAACTATAATTATAGTTGATAATGTAGAAATTTTAGGCATTTGCAGTAGCCTCAGTAAAAAGAAATTCGATCTTGTGACCATAAAGTACACCTTCATGTGTAGTTTAGTCAGATTTAGTATCGGCAACGCTGCAGAAATGATACAATAGCAGTTGAGATATAACAGTCTGTGTGTATGACTAACCTGAATCAGTGAGTAATGACTTATTGTTGGCTCGATATCTGGCTCTCTTGGCCTACGTAAGATATTCGGGAAGATTGTCAGCAATAATGACTTGTCTATTACTATAATATTAAGTCGCATTTGATAATAGCGGTGTCTGCGTAGGTATGAGGGAGGATTTATGCCGCATGCTCATCTTGTAAACCCTGGTTTGCGAATATGAATAAGGTGTGAGTATAGGTCTTACCTTCTGCCTCTTGCTCATCTTGGGAACCTTGGTGAATATCATGCCTAAGGTACGAGGATAGGTCTTACCGTCTGCCTTCTCTCGGGTTTGTACCTGGCTGAATTTATCGCTTGGGTGTGAGAGGGTCTTATTTACCGTGTGCCTCAAAAATACTGATAGTCTTGGTCTAGAATAGAATTCGAATATAGTTATCCAGGAACTTGATTAATCTGTAAGTTCAAAGACATCACGCATTTCATCATGAAACAAATAAATCGCACTATGGGGATATCATCTAATCGTGGCAAAAATCAATTAAGATATGCCTAACGGGAGGAGTATGATATCCATTGAAAGGTATGTAAATTAGTAACAATACCAGACAATACATAAGTAGTACTAACTTAGTACTCAAATAGTACCACCCTAACGAATATACTCTTGTAGAATAAATAGCTTAGCTCTTAGGTGTCCATCGTCTCAGATCGTTGGGTACCTAGCTTCCTTCAAAGAAGAAGAAACCGATTATACGCCTTGTACGAAAAATAGCAATAGTGACATAAACTTTATCCTCGAGTATCCAGGTTAAAGTCACAACAGTTGCAAAGGATTAATTTTTAATTGATAAATGAATGTTATCTTTTTTAGTAGTTCCAGAGACTAAAAGTTGACTTTTTAGGTTTGAGTTCCTTTATAAAGATTATTGTTTTGTTGAAAATTTTGGACTTTTAAGATCAATGACAATTTTGAAAACAAAATATAATTATGAGAATTGTATATATATGAAGTTCGTAGTACTTATTTAGTACAAATAATACAAATAATAAAACTAGCGGACAAGAATCTACACAAAGTAAAATGACTTCTCTTTTCAAAATGCTTTCGATTCAAAGATTTATTATCCTAGTATGCAGTTTACCAATTACAACTCCAAAACTATCGCTTAGCGGCCTAGCTCAAGTGTATGGCACTGCCTCTAAGAGATTTATTTATCTCATCAATTGATTATAACTGTACAAATCTCTGTTTCTGTAAATAATCCTTAATTATGACTTTCCGTTCGTATTTAACAATTATTGCGTTTGACCTTTGCCTAAACTTTAACCTGAAATTAAAAGAACATGGATATTATTACTTCAAGAGATTACGTTTAGATGTAGATTTATCTTAGTCATTTCCCTTCTTTGAAACATTTTTAACATTTCGATAAACGTCATGACTTGTTAAGTTAGTTATTTTTCTTTCTGCATCGTATTTTAGTTTTTGTTCTCTATAGCGAGGATCACCAAGAAGGGTTTGCATATGCTGTTCAAAACTATCTTCTGGTATCATCTTTTTCGTTATTGGACACTCTATCATCTTTTTATTCTGTGCCTGTCCTTGCGTTTGCTTTTGCTTCTTTAACCTTGTCTCACCAGCGGCTTTAATTTTCATCTTTCTTTTTGATTTTTTACCTTCTGAACGCTTGGTGGATTCTTCATTCTTTTCGATATTAATTATTTCTACATCTGTGAAAATGCTTGTGATGACCTTGTTTTTATTCGTGAGTTGTTTAATTTTCAATGAGTTAAGATCAATAGGCTTTACAAAAGTATCATTTTCTATATTGAAGTCAATTGTTGCTAATGTCTTAAAATTTGTCCAATCAAATGCAGCAAATTGAATATCTTGTAACTTTTTTATTTCGTCTTTCTTGGATTCTATTTCTTTGGAGTATTCATAGAATTCTGCTCTTTTGAAACATCTCTCAATAATATCTCTTTTAGTAGAATATTTCAATACATCAGAGGAATCAAGCCCTTCTTTGTCCATAATTAGTTTATATTGATCAATGAAATTAATAAATATAGTATGAAGAGGATGATCTTCTTTAATAAACTCAAATTTTTCATCAGCTGCATAAAATTTTCTCAATTCACCTAATGCATCAATATCCTTATTTAAAACTACAAACTGAGCTGTAAGTTTCAAAATATCTAAACTTTTTGCATCTATATTTTTGTCATAACCACTAAATACATATTCGTATGGTATAGTCGGTAGTTCATCTCCTAGAACATTGACAACTACCTCTTCCTCTTCATCGTTACTTTTGTCTTTGAAATCTTCATTCAACTTAGCCTTGTAAAACTTGTAATACTTATGTTCAGGCCTTACAAATGAAAATTTATCATCACCAGCTAACTTATCCTCAAAACTAACCCCGTTCTTCCTAACATAGAGAACTGTCTTCTCTATAGACTCTATTAGATAACTATCTTCACCATCTGGTATTGCATAATTTGTAGTCATCTTGTAAAAAATAAAAAAAAGCACCTCTAACTTCTCCTATAAAAAATAGAATATCAACTATATGCGCTAGAATTATCAATCCAAAGCTTAGACAATTTCCAAAACCTTTTATGCTCTTCAAATAACCAAAATTATCTTCATCTTGACCACTCATCTTATAATTGAAATATTTCATCTCGATATTTGATCTAAATTGATATCGCGTATAAGGAAATTAAACCCCGTCTGAAATATTCAATCCAATATATATAAGAGATACTACAATGAAGGGAAATTTAAATAGTAATTGTGTATAATAAATATTTGTGAATAGTATTTAGAGTATATAAACTATTTGACAATGTAAAATACTAGACATTATCCATTCTTTCAAACTTGAAAAAATCGGTTTAGAATTGATCAAGTTGATGTTGCTTGAGAAATTGCAATCATTCTCTTTACACCTGTTAACCAATTACCGGCTTCAGATGAATTGTTTGTTGCAATATCTGATTGAATTTGGACTGCCTCCTGATAGTTTTTATTTTGTAGATTTTCAACGATTTTATAAACCTTGTCCATTGTTTCAACTGAAATTAAATCTTTCTTTTCAATATGAGCAAACAATATATTCAATCTTTTTCTACAATCTTTTAGTTGTTTTACATATTCTGATGGAATCAAAGGTGTAACACGTTCTAATTCTTTCTTAAAGAATTCAATAATTTCAATTTCTTCTGATGTAACTGGAGACAAAGTTTCTGGCAATGGTGGTGAAGATATTGGAACATGGGTTGGAGAGACTTCAGCGCTCATTGGAATTGAATTCATATGATTAGATAATAGTTGTTTCCTTGGAACTTCTCCTTGTGGTGCTTCAATATTATGATTAGATTGAGGATTACCTAAACTTGGGGTTTGTCCTAAATCGATATTTTGTGTTACCTTTTTCCTTGCATTGATTGGCGGTGGAGCTAATGGGTTAGAGTCTTGTTTAGCCATTTGAGGAGGACCATTCAATTGATTACTAACATTTTGATTAATATCATTGGTGTTTGGACCATATGGATTACTTCTCATTGATACTGGTGTTGGTGGATTTTCAATTTGGGGAGCGTATGGATTACTTGGTTGAGAAGGTTGAATTTCACCTGGAGCTGTTGGCAATAATGGGAAAGAAAATTGCTTGTTATTCATTGATGGTGAGGCTGGAACAGCGTTTGTCGATGGTGGAGCATATGGATTATGAGACACAGGTTTCTGTTGTGGCGACATATTTGTCATAGGAGTAATAATCGCAGATGGCTTTCTGGAATGACGTAATGGCGGAGGCTTAATTGAACTCATAGAAGCTGTGGAATGCTTTCTGGATCTTGGGTCACTAGCTGCTGGCATAGCTGGAATTCCACCATGATTCATTGCAGATTGGAATGACGAAACTGGAGCGACAGAAACAGGTTTGGCCCTAATAGTCTTCTCTCTAACATCCAATGGTAAATCGTTCCAACCATCATTAGCTTTCTTGTTTGCATGTGGGACCTGTCCTGAAATCACATTACCTGGGACTGGATTTCTTGTTGTATTTGGAGCATCTTGAGCCTTTAATGGTGCTGGCTCAGAGACAAATGTAGCCGTAGGCTTCGTAAAATGATGTTGGTTTGGAATAACCGGGACACCATTAATTTTGTTCATACCTTGGTAAATATTTTGATTGTTGCTCTTTGGTAGATGTGTTGGCATTGTTGGTGGAGTACTTGAACGTGGTGGTGCGTAAGGATTCTTTTTAGCTGTCAATGATACTGAAGATGCGGTATGGATATGTTGGTCAGCTGACGTACTGTATGGATTGTTGGCAAAATTCTTATTAGGGAATTCGTTATGGTCCATGGCAACATGATTGTTGACTGGTGTAATGTTTTGTTGCTGAATAAAACTCTGAGTGGAACCCATTTGAGATTGATTCATAACGCCAAAGGAAGGAGAAGGTGCTAAAGGAGCATTGGAAGTTTTTAACGAAGACTTCTTCTTTAAAGGAACACCCAACACTGTATTGATACGTTCATTTTCTGCCTTTACCATAGGGTTAGATTCTGGTAAAGTTTCCAAAAGTTTTCTTGCCAATTCAAAATTTCCACTTGAACAACTCAAATCAACAAATTCCAGAAATTTAGATATCAAGTCTTCATTTGTAATGTTTAATTCCTTCATTTCCAGAGAGTTAGTAAAAGTGACAAATCTTTCAATGAATTCAGTCAAACATTCAGAATGAGATTTATATGCTGTTGACTTAGAGTTTGCGAAAGACTTTTCTAACGTGTTCAATTCTTTTATCCAAATTGAGGCCACTTTATCTAACGAATCAGCTGAAACATATGCACCGATAGCTTCTTGTCTCATATTACTGGCAATCAATCTGTCACCCAACTTGACCAAAAATTGGTTTCTTTGATTGACATCATTTTCGAAGTTACAAAGAATAGATTTGGCTACTAATTTCCATTGGGTAACATCTAAGTTATCAATCAAATCATCCATTGTTTTATTGGAAAATGAAAATAAAAATCTTGATAAAGTGTTTGCATCACCAAATTTACTGAAATAAGCAGCTTTTACTTTCTCCTTTAGGGATTGATTATTGCTATCCATTGCAATAACCATAGCTTCCAATAACATTTCGTTTTGTAAAGATGAATTAATAGCTGCCTTATAGTTGCTTTTGACCAAGGACTTCGCAATAGTTTCGGAAGTAGATTCAATCTTAAAGCTTCCAACGGGTTGATAACCTTGCTCTAATTGCTCAAAAAATGCTTCACCTTCTGTAACTTGCTTTTGATCGTCCAATTCTTCTTCTAACTCGTCATCATCGAATGAGAAGATTTCTTCAGTAACTTCATCTTTACCATCCAGTGCCAATTTTTCTATCAAGTTCCAATCATCTTCATTATCATCATTTATAGGTTTAGCTAACCTTTGATTTATAATTGAGGTAAAATTTTTGGTCTCTAAAGCTTTTTGCAAAATAGAACCATCATTGAAGAAACCTGGTAAATTTGGTTTTGTAATTTGAACACTCTTGCCATCAGCCATTACTGAAACAATCTTACCACCAAAAACCCAGCTTGCAGCAGGAGATTGGTTCATAGTCCAACTTGGAGCTTGTAACTTGCTAACAATAGGTTTTGGTTCTGGTTCAGCAGCAGAAAGATCTGGGGATGCAGACACATTATTCCAGAACTCATCTTCAGTCTTGTTTTCAATCACATTAGAGTCTTCTGAATCCAAAGAGGTTGTGATATCCTGTAGAGATCTTACCTTTATTGGTGTTTCTGAAGAAGCACTAGCAAAAATTTCTGGTAACTCTGGAGCAAATTTAACTTTTGAGTAACAAGTGTTACCTGGGAAAGTTGATAATTTCTCATTAGTTTGAGGATTCCATAAGACTACAGTATTGTTATCGGAACTTGCTAATAAGTAATCTTGGTCCTTTGCACACCAGTCCAATGACTTGACGGTTGCCTGTGAGTCTAAAATTTGTAGAGGTTTAGCAGAGTTTCTCAAATCCCAAATTAAGATAGAGGAAGTAGAAGAGGTAGCAACTCTAGTTGAATTTTTAGGGTCCCATTCAACAATTGACAATTGGGATTTCATACCGGTTTCAGGATTACTATAGGCCAAATGCATGACTTCCTTTTTGGCCTTCAAATCCCAAATCGAAGCATGGGTTGTATCAGCAGCAGAGGCAAAGACATGGGACAAAGAATGGTTCCAAGCCAATGAAGAAATTGTTGGGTTGGAGGTCCCAGTAACAGCACCTGGGGTCAATGGCGTATAATCAAGTTGAGATAAACACTTTTTAGTATCCCAAATGAAAATTTCAGAATCCGAACCACCAGACAACATCACATTGGATTGAACATAATTAAATTTAACGACATTGGCCTCTTTGGAATGAGAATTGAACTCAGAAACTTGGCTAACAACGTTGTTGCTAGCATCAAACTTGAAAAATTTCAATCCACCATTTTTCATTGCACCAGCAACAACATGATCATCAATTGCACAGTCCAAATCATTGAACCCAAGCCCATCGATCACTAAACTACTAACTGGATCCTTAGACCCAGCAACTAAGGAATAAACCTCCAATTTACCACTGGTCCCATTGCTTGAACTACCTGCAAAAAGTCTTGGAAGTCTCTCATGAGACCAGGTAAAAGTAGAACTTTCGGAAAAGTCACCAATGGCTACCATATCTCCCAATCAAAAACTACAGATCTGGTGTCTTACAAGGATTACAAGTCAAGATCAGACAATGAACAATCAATCAATCAATCAATCAATTGAACAATTGCTTCTCTTATTCCAATTATATCTCTATCCCAAAAGGTTATTTCGAATCGAACTCGAAATCGAAAAGTTCATTACGCATCGGTAAGAATGTTGGGTTTTCCATGTTAAACGAACAAGAGATGAGGTCAAAGTGAAAAGGATGGTTTATCAAGAAGTGTTGTTTAGGATGAAGATTGATGCAATATGATGGGTGAATGTTGTGGGGGAGGTAGTTTAAGAGTTGATGTAAGTGCCAGTATCAGTGCCAGTGCCTGTGCCTGTGCCAGAGAGAGATTTTGAACTGGAGTATTGAGTTCGCTTTTCAGTTTTATTTGATCCACTTCAATTTGTCCCATTGACAAGAGACAAAACAACTGGTCATGGACATGATTATGGACATGGACAGTAGTTGTTGTGGAAGGGTGTCATTGGTGTTGCCTTCACTTCTCCTTCATCCCCCCTCTCCTCCCCCTCAAGTTGGACCTGGTCTGTTCCTTTTTGGAAGTTTCTCGAAAAATGACAACTCTCGCTACCATATACACACTTCACAACTGTACTTCGAAACCAAACCAAACCAAACCCAATGACTTCTATTTAAGAATCAAGATGATGTTGGACAACGCGATGGGATTCTATCTGGTTTGATTTAGTTTAGTTTAGTTTAGTTTAGTTTGGGGTGGTGGTCAATTAGATCGGTTCAGAGTTCTTATCGTGGTTGCAATGAGTGGTCCAAAGAGCTATTTTGATATTTCAATTGGTGGTAAACCTGTTGGACGTATTGTCTTTGATTTATTTGAAGAGACTGCTCCAAAGACAGTCAAGAATTTTGTTACTTTATGTGATGAAGATAACGGTTTGAAATGTAAGTCGAAGCCTGATGTGTCATTGTGTTACAAGGGGTCTTTGTTCCACAGGGTGATCAAGGATTTTATGTGTCAATTTGGTGATTTCACCAATTTTGATGGGACTGGTGGTGAGAGTATATACGGTGAAAAGTTTGAAGATGAAAATTTCACTTTGAAGCATGATAGACCTTTCTTGTTGTCGATGGCAAATGCTGGTCCAAACACCAATGGTTCTCAGTGTTTCATCACAACTACTGATACTCCTCACTTGGACGGCAAACATGTTGTGTTCGGTGAGGTCATTCAAGGTAAGAGAATTGTCAGATTAATGGAAAACTTGCAATGCGACCAAGAAAACAACAGACCAATGTTAGACGTCAAGATTGACTCATGTGGTATTTTGCCTAACGACTACCAGGTTCCAGAAGATGCTGAGGCAACTCCTACCGATGAGTTCGGTGATAACTATGAAAATTCTTTGAAAGCTGACCCTAAGGTCGATATCAATGACTTCAAATCCGTCATCGAGGCTATCGAGAAGGTCAAAGCAATCGGTACCGAGCAGTTCAAGAAACAAAATTTCCCAGTGGCATTAGAAAAATATACCAAGTGTGACAAATTCTTGAAAGAGTATTTCCCAGAAGACCTACCAGAAGACGAGATCAAACAAGTCAATCAATTGAAAGTGTCAATCCCATTGAACATCGCTATCTGTGGGTTGAAGACTAAGGATTACCAAAAAGTCCTTGTTGCAGGTTCAGAAGTTCTTTACGCCGAAGACGCAGATGACAAGTCCAAGGCTAAGGCCCTTTACCGTCGTGGTCTAGCTTACTACCATCTGAACGACACAGACTCAGCAATGATAGATTTGGAAATGGCAACCACTTTCCAGCAAGATGATGCGGCTATCTTGAAAGCTATCCAAGATACCAAAGCCAAGAGAAAGGCTGAAAATGAAAAACAAAAGAAATCGCTATCCAAAATGTTCTCATAAGTAGTGGACCCAGTTCGCTTTAAAACATATATACACGTGTATTTTATCTAACCCATTAAATATAAATAGTCATATATCTAAATCTACATACGTCTTTAGCAATCTCATAATAAAGTTATATATATTGCGTAATTTTCCACTTTGGATACGTTTGGACTCGAATCACAACAGGAATAAAAATACAAAATATAAAAAAAAAGATCAGCAATCCAATTCCAACTATTGATCCGCTTCCCAACCATATCCCAACCATGCACTTCCTTGTTCAATCCAGTCTCTTATCCCATCGGTGTACCTTTCTTTATAGTTCTTATTTTGATCACGTGAGTTACCCTACCCATGAGGAATCCTGGTTTCGTCCAACGTAGCAGCAGCACAGAGGTTTAACGAAATTTGACAATTTGACCAACTCATAATGATTTATCAATACTTGATATTTAAATGTATTGATCTTTAATCGAATTGACGTTGGATTAAAGTCTATCTTCGTAATTGATATCAGGAGCAGTACTTTATTTGTGCAAGTGGGGCTGTTTGATTTTGTTGTTTTGTTTTCCTGTGGTTTTCCATCGATCTAGGAACTTTTGAAACTTCAAGATTGTTATTATTATTAGAATTTATTCTACATATATTTTTTTGGTTTTTGGTTTATAATCTTTCAAGATTTTAAGTTAGAAAGAGGAATAATATATTTTGGATACTTTCTTATTTAAGAGGACCTCTCTGCTACTACTTCATTTTTTTTTTTACGTTCTTTAAGAAAGAATTGTCACCATGAAATTGCTGACGAAATTCGAATCAAAATCAACTAGAGCCAAGGGGATTGCTTTCCATCCTTCTAGACCATGGGTTCTAGTGGCTTTGTTCTCTTCTACTATCCAATTATGGGATTACAGAATGGGTACTTTGCTTCACAGATACGAAGACCATGAAGGTCCTGTCCGTGGTATTGATTTCCATCCTACTCAACCATTATTTGTTTCTGCTGGTGATGACTATACAATTAAAGTCTGGTCCTTAGAGACTAACAAGTGCTTATACACCTTGGATGGCCATTTGGATTATGTCCGTACCGTGTTCTTCCATAAGGAATTACCATGGATCATTTCCGCTTCTGATGATCAAACTATTAGAATTTGGAATTGGCAAAACCGTAAAGAGATCGCTTGTATCACTGGCCATAACCATTTCGTTATGTGCGCTCAATTCCACCCAACTGAAGATTTAATTGTGTCTGCTTCTTTGGATGAAACCGTTAGAGTCTGGGATATCTCTAAATTAAGAGAAAAACATTCTGCTCCTGGCCGTTCAGCCATGCCAACTTCCTTTGAAGAAAAAATCGCAGCTCAACAAAATCTGTTAGATGGTGGTTTTGGCGATTGTACCGTCAAGTTTATCTTAGAAGGTCATACCAGAGGTGTTAACTGGGCTTCTTTCCACCCAACTTTACCATTGATCGTTTCTGGTGGTGATGACCGTCAAGTTAAATTGTGGAAAATGAGTGCTACAAAGGCTTGGGAATTAGATTCTTGCAGAGGCCATACTAACAACGTCGACAGTGTTATCTTCCACCCAACTCAAAATTTGATCTTGTCTGTAGGTGAAGATAAAACTTTGAGAGTTTGGGATTTAGATAAGAGAACCCCTGTCAAACAATTCAAGAGAGAAAATGATAGATTTTGGTTGATTGCTGCTCATCCAAACATCAACTTATTCGGTGCTGCTCATGATTCAGGTATTATGATCTTCAAATTGGATCGTGAAAGACCTCCATTCGCTATCCACCAAAATATGTTGTACTTCGTTAACAATGAAAAGCAGGTTCAAACCTTCGATTTCCCAAATCAAGTATCTTCTTTACCTTATGCTTCCTTGAAGTCTTTAGGTAACCCTTGGGAAGCATTTAAGAGTATTTCTTACAATCCTTCTCAAAACTCCCTTTTGGTTAGTGAAGGTAATAACAAGTTCGGTTTGGTATTATTAACAAAGCAACCAACTGGTGCTGTTCAACCTACTGGTGTAATGGAAGATAACGGTTCTTTTGCTACATTCGTAGCTCGTAATAGATTCGTTGTTTATAACAACGCCAATGACACTTTAGAAGTCCGTTCTTTAGAAAACAAAGTTACTAAGGCAATTAAGATTGATGGTAATGTTAAAGGTTTGGCACATGGTGGCCCAGGATTAATCTTAGTCTTATTGACAAAATCTGTTTTATTATATGATGTCCAACAGGGTAAGCAATTGGCTGAAATGTCTTTGAAGAACGTCAAGTATGTATCTTGGTCTCAAGATGGTCAATATGTTGCTTTGATCAGTAAACATACCATCACAATTACCAACAAAAGATTGGAACTAGTTAGCACCAGACATGAAACAATCAGAGTCAAGAGTGCTGCTTGGGATGAATCAAACGTTTTAATTTATTCTACTTTGAACCATATCAAATACATCTTATTGAATGGTGACAACGGTATCATTAAGACTTTGGAAAAGACTTTGTACATAACAAGAGTTCAAGGTAAATTAATTTATGCATTGAACCGTGATGGTGAAGTTCAAATTTTATCAATCGATCCTACTGAATACCGTTTCAAGAAGTCCTTGGTTAACAAGAATTATCCTGAAGTTATGCGTATTATCAAAAATTCCAATTTGGTTGGTCAAAGTATCATCTCTTATTTGCAAAAGGCTGGTCATCCAGATGTTGCATTACAATTTGTTCAAGATCCCCAAACTCGTTTCGATTTAGCTGTCGAATACGGTAACTTAGATGTTGCTCTACTTGAAGCCAAAAAATTGAACGCTCCAGCTTCTTGGGAACGTTTAAGAAAGGAAGCTGTGACCCAAGGTAACTTAGGCATTGTCGAATTAATTGATCAACAACTAAAATCTTTCGATCAATTATCATTCCTGTATTTAATCAGTGGTGAAACTAATAAGTTATCCAAGATGGAAACCGTTGCTCAAAGACGTAATGATGTCTCTAGTATGATTCTAAACAGTTTCTACAACAATTCTGTTTCTTTCAGAAGTAACGTTTTTGCCGAAGCTGGTTCCTTACCTTTGGCTTATGCAGTTGCCAAAGCCAATGGCGATGAAGCTGCTGCTGCTGCTTATTTGGAACAAGCTGGTATTGACGAACAAGATGTCACCTTACCAGATGTACTAAACCCATCTTCTTTCACCAAGGCACCAGTTATCACAGAACCAATGGAAAAATGGCCATTGAAAGAAGCTGAATTATCTTATTTCGAAAAGGCAGTTTTGGGCCAAATTGAAGATCTACACTTGGATGAGCCACAAGGACAAGAAACTATTGAAAGACCACACGTCGATGAAGAAGGCGATGTATTCTTTGAAGGTGAAGAAGTTGCCGAAGATGATGGTGCTTGGGATATGGGATCTGAAGATTTGGATGTAGGCGAAGAATTTGAAGCCGTTGAAGAAAAGGAAGAAGAAGAACCTGTCTCAATTGAAGAAAGCGAAACTGCTACTTGGGTTAAAAACTCTAAGTTACCAGCTGTTCTTATTGCTGCTGGTGCATTCGATGCTGCTGCTCAAGCTTTGAACAAACAAGTTGGTATTGTTAACTTCGAACCATTGAGAAAGAACTTTTTGGATGTTTATGAAGGTTGTAGAACTTACATGCCAGGTGAACCGGAAGAGATCCCAGCTTTGGTTGGTTATACACGTATTATCGCAGATGCAGAACAAACCGGTGAAATTTTGCCATACGTTGCTGGCGTGAGTGCCATCACTGAAAAGATGAATATTGGTTTCAAGAGTTTCAAGGCTAACAAATTAGAGGATGCCATTGAATCATTCCGTTCAGCCATCTATAATATCACATTGTTGACAGTATATAATGAAGAAGATGAGAAATTCGCTCGTAGTGCATTGGAAAAGGCCAGAGAATATATCTTAGGTTTGTCTATCGAATTGGCCCGTCGTGCTCTACCGGAGGATGAAATCAAACGTAACTTGGAGTTGGCTACATACTTCACAAGAGCCAAATTAGCTCCAGCTCATCACAGCAATGCTTTACAAGTTGCCATGTCTCAAAATTTCAAGCACAAGAACTTCGTTCAAGCTTCATATTTTGCCGGCGAATTCTTAAAGATTGTTACTACCGGACCTCGTGCAGAACAAGCTAGAAAGATCAAGGACAAGTCAGACTCCATCGCTAGCGATGCAATTGAATTGGACTTCGACCCATACGCCGAATTCGATATCTGTGCCGCTTCTTACACTCCAATCTACAAAGGAACTCCTAGTGTATCTGATCCATTAACAGGTGCTAAATATCATGCTTCAGAAAAGGACAAGATTGATAGAATTGCCCTGGTTTCTAAGATCGGCGCTGTAGCCTCAGGTCTAAGAATCCTTTTATAATGATATCCAGGCTTTCTAACGACTGAAAGGACCTCAATAAACTTTTAATCTTCAGTTCTTTTTTTCTTATTCCTAAATTATTTTGACGTATGTTTTTTTCTAAAAAAAGGTGTATATATATGTAATTATTACATACATAAATGAAGATTCTACAATTATATAATAACAGAAACTACTAACTCTAATCCCAACATAAAGCTATCTAAAAATACCCATTTGGTAAGTCTTATCCAACAGATTTCTTCTACCTGCCCTGTAAACTTCTGATTTTGTATGTATCTTCCATCTTAAAGAATAAGCTTCAAACTTACGCGTATTTAAGTAATATCAACAATAAACACAACAAAACATCAACAATGAAAGAAGATGTAGATAAGGAAATTGAACTATCTTCTGGTCTTATATTGGGACTAGGTGTCTGATTTGAAGGTTACTGTCTATTGGTCGATTGATATATTGGGTTTTTTTAACGGTATGGCTGGTGAGATTATTACGATTCAAGTTGGTCAATGTGGGAATCAAGTTGGTAAACAATTTTGGTCACAAGTAGCTAAAGAACATGGTATTGGCAATGATGGTCAAAGCAAGGTTGAATTAGATGGCGATGCTAGGGATGATGATACTAATCCATTTTTCAAGCAGAATAGTAGTCATAGATACACACCTAGAGCGTTATTATTCGATTTAGAGCCTAGTTCTATTCAAGATGTTCAAAATAGCTTCCCAAATTTTTTTGATCCAAGAAATATCTGGGTATCTCCAGAAGAATTAGGTGCTGGTAATTCCTGGTCTAAAGGTTATGATTATGGATTGGCTCACCAGGATGAATTTTTGAATATGATCGATAAAGAGATAGATAACACTGAGAACTTTGAAGGGTTTCAAATAATCCATTCTGTGGCAGGTGGTACAGGTTCTGGGTTAGGTTCCAATCTTTTGGAAATGATCTCAGATAGGTATCATAAGAAATTTTTGACTACATATTCAGTTTTTCCTAGCAATGAATCCGAAGTAGTGATTCAACCATATAATACTATTTTAACATTAAGAAGATTAGCAGAAAATAGTGATGCCTCGATCGTTTTTGACAATAATGCTTTATTAAATTTGACATCTAGGGTATTCAGAGATCCTTATACTAGTTATGTCCACACCAATCAATTAAATATCAGCCACCATGTCTTCGATCACTAATCCAATACGATTCCCAAGTTATATGTACAATTCATTACCTAGCATTTTTTCTACATTAATACCAACTCCAGATTTGCATTTCTTAGTCCCTGGATTTACTCCATTCACTGCCGATTATGTAGTTGGCGGAAAAGAATACAAGAGGAATACCGCTTATGACGTTCTTTTAGACCTTTTGGATGGGTCAAATTCATTGGTATCAAGTACTTACGATAACCCTACATTTTTCAACGTTTACAGTTGTCTAATAGGAGCTGTCGATCAAAACGATGTCTCTAGAGCTATAACTAAAGCCCAATCACGTTTAAAGTTCCCATCGTGGTCATCGACTTCTATTCACGTAAATGTGGGCAGAAGATCCCCATATCTACCAGAGCAGAATAACAACAGCAACCAAGTGAACGGGATGCTACTGACAAACACCACCACAATCACCTCAGTATTTGACAGAGCTTGTAAGACGTTTGACAAGATTTTCTCGAAAGGTGCATTTCTAAATACATTCAAAGATGGTAAAATGTTTCAAAATGGATGGGACGAATTTGTAGAGTCAAGAGAAGTAGCTCAAAACTTAATCGACGAATATTTAGCAGCTGAACAAGAAAGTTACCTTGACGATGTACTCATCGAAGATGAAAATATGGTTGGTCATTCAGAAACTGACATCCAATTGGGTAACGATGGCAACATTATATAAAATCTTACGGCAATTCCCATCATCAAAATACTTAGAGTTAATCAATCGGGAGGGTAGAGGAAACCAAAAATTTACAAAACAAAGTGAAGCAAAATAAGATGCACTAACGAGTTATTTAATACAATATAATTTAAAATTAATCTAATTATAAAATATCAATCCATAATTTTGTTTTGTTGATCGTTGATCGTTGTCTTGCCTTGTCTTGTCTTGATTCATTATAATTATGGCCCTGTCTGTCACAACTAGGCGCACACAAACCCAAAACCAAAGTTACCCTACCTTAAGAAAGTCACGTTTTATCCAAAAATACAGATCACGTGCAGATCACTGTTCACGTGAGATATCAGGGCAAAGGCTCAAAATTTTTGAATAAGAAAAAAATTTTAAAAACAAATTATTAAACTTCTTAATATATATATAACTATAAGAAGTTTTGATGTTTTATTGTGAAATCTAGTTGATAAAGAGGGTATCAGACCAAATCACGGTAATTAGAAGACGTTTTACTTTTGAACGCTACACGCCATTAGTTTTTGAAGTTTGAAAATACACATAAATTTAAGATTTTTTTGAAATTTGTCCCTAGTGTTATTATTTTTTGATTATAGTACTTCTAGTAATTAATAATAATAAATTAAGAGAAAAAGATATAACTTCTTTGGGTACAAAACACACTATTATTATTTCAATAAACGGAAGTAATTATTTATTGAAATTGAGTTTTTCTCAGCTTTGAAGAGATAGAATTAGATTGTGGAGCATAGTTATTTGCACTTTAGAAAGGAGTTACAAGAAGAATTTTTTATTATACTAAATTATATTTCTTCTGTTCACCCTTATTAGTACTATAGATTTCCTTTTTTTCTGCTACAGTTTCTCTTCCTTTTTGAACACTTTTATATTTTCAGTGTCTTGTTGTTATTGTTCTTCAGTTTGAGGTATATATTTAAAAACAATTAACAGCTGACAATATTAATTGAAAAATAAAGTGTTTTTAATACGATTATTTAACGAAATTTTGGATTAAGGTTGCTTTTTTTTTAATAAAAGAGAACTACAAGTCCCATTATATTTTTATTACATTTTAGTTTTTTGCCACTTTTGGTTTCCATCTGCAGAAAAGAATTTGTTGATATTACTATATCATATTCTTTTCACTATATTTAGACCAATAGGAGATATTATTTGATAATTCGGCGAAATTCAATCGGATACAAGTGTCATTTCACATTATCCCTTTTATTTTTATTATTTTTTATTATCATAATTTGTTAACTTTATTTTTATTTTTATCTTTTTCCCATTACCAAAAAAAATTAATTAGTACCTCTAGACAAAAATGAGCACTCAAATTGAAGATCAAGACTGGAAGTCCAAGTTGAATATTCCAAAAAAAGATACCAGACCACAAACTGAGGATGTCTTAAGTACAAAAGGTAACACCTTTGAAGATTTTTATTTAAAAAGAGAACTTCTAATGGGCATATTCGAAGCAGGTTTTGAAAAACCTTCTCCTATTCAAGAAGAATCTATCCCAGTAGCCTTAGCTGGTAGAGACATCTTAGCAAGAGCAAAAAATGGTACTGGTAAAACAGCTGCTTTCGTTATCCCAACTTTAGAAAAAGTTAAATCCAAGCATAACAAAATACAAGCATTAATCATGGTCCCAACAAGAGAATTAGCATTACAAACTTCTCAAGTCGTACGTACGTTGGGTAAACATTGTGGTATTTCATGTATGGTTACCACAGGTGGTACAAATTTAAGAGATGATATTTTAAGATTAAACGAAACTGTGCATATTTTGGTAGGTACTCCTGGTAGAGTATTGGATTTGGCCTCTAGAAAAGTAGCAGATTTATCAGAATGTAATTTATTCATCATGGATGAAGCTGATAAAATGCTTTCCCGTGATTTCAAATCAATCATAGAACAAATATTGGTATTCTTACCAAAAAATCATCAATCTCTATTATTTAGTGCCACCTTCCCATTAAGTGTTAAAGAATTTATGGTTAACCATTTGCATAAACCATACGAAATTAATTTAATGGACGAATTAACTTTAAAAGGTATCACACAATATTATGCCTTTGTTGAAGAAAAACAAAAATTGCATTGTTTAAATACTTTATTTTCAAAATTACAAATTAACCAAGCCATCATCTTTTGTAATTCCACAAATCGTGTTGAATTGCTAGCAAAAAAAATTACTGATTTAGGTTATTCTTGTTATTACTCTCACGCTAGAATGAAGCAACAAGAAAGAAATAGAGTCTTCCACGAATTCCGTCAAGGTAAAGTTCGTACTCTAGTCTGCTCAGATCTATTAACTCGTGGTATTGATATCCAAGCTGTAAACGTTGTTATTAATTTTGATTTCCCAAAGACTGCCGAAACTTACTTGCATCGTATTGGTAGATCCGGTAGATTTGGCCATTTAGGTTTGGCAATCAATCTAATTAACTGGAATGATCGTTTTAACTTATACAAGATCGAACAAGAGTTAGGTACAGAAATTCAAGCTATCCCAGCAACAATTGATAAATCATTATATGTAGCTAACGATAACTCTGCTGTTCCTGTACCATTCCCAATTGAACAAAGCCACGTTCAACCATCCATGCAACAACAACATATGCCCTTACCACCTCAACAACCAATTCCAAACCAACAGTTTGGAGGAATGCCACAACAGTATTCTCCACAACAGCAACAGTATCAACAATACCCACCTCAAGGTATGGCTATGCCACCTCAAGGAATTCAAATGCAACAACAACCCCAATTTTAATTGAGTGTATTATCAGTGGTTTGAATTGCTTGCTTTTATTTTGTTTTTGTTATCATTTAAGGAAACATTAATGTTTCTAATAATTGACTTTTATTTTAACTATTTTACTTTTTTCCTAACCGTTTTAATTATCACATCATTTTGCATAATTTCATGAAATATTAATTTCGAATTACAATACTTTTAATAGAAATGAATGAGGCTTTCTTTTTCTCTGTTTCTCATCGTTATATTCATTATTATCAAATATTTTTTTGGGCATTGTCACACCTTTTTCATTTTTTTTTCATTGATTTCCTGGTTTTAATTAGGTGTTTTAGCATTTGGCATTTTTTTTTTCATTTCTCGTATGATCCTGTATTATGATTCTTTTATTCACTTCTATTTGTACCTTAATTTTTCATTTGATTTAGTTTTAGATTTCAATATCGAGAATCTTAAAAATCCAACCCCTAAAGAAAATTTAGGAAGAAATATGAATTTAACGAACTATTAGGAATCCAAGAATGTTTGTTCAGCACTTAGCACTATATATAGATGTTACAGTTTATGAAAATGTTTGAACTTAATTACATTATTATGGACAAGATTTCAAGATAGCAATGCACTCGTTTCACTCTCAAACGTTGCTTTTCATTAACAAAGTAGCAATCAATCCAATGCTACTATAGCATTTCCATCTTTATTGCTATTATTTGCTGTTAGTATATGTCCTCCTTTTATTTTCAATCTATTTGCATGGAATTATGACTAATATTTTTTAAACGATTTCTATTATTGAGCCTACTCAATCTGGTAGATTTATGAAAAGTTTCTCATTATTTTTTTTTTTTGGAATATATAAGATATATCTTAATCAAGATAAAAATCTTATATTGCTTCAATTTTTTTTTTGGAAACTATTTTATGATACCTTTTAATCTTTTTTTTACCAATTTTATACTTTTTATACCTTATACTATTATTTTTGAGAATCTTTGTAGATGTTTTTAGCGTTAAAGTTTTCATTAATATCATTAAAAATAGCATATTTTTTTTACATATCGAATCCGTTATTCGAAGCTCTATAAAATTTTATTGGGTGATTTATTATATAAAAGTTATTATTATTATACTTAATATATTGATATATATAAATATATATATTATAATTAAAGAGTACAAACCTGTTGTTTTTATTACTTCTCTAGATTACCAGCAATTTCCCAGTTGCCCTTATTATTTTCTTTTAATAAAGTTACTTGATAATCATCAGTAGATACTGCCAAAATATTACCAGATAATGACCAATTGACTCTAGAGATTCCATGATCAAAGCTTTTATTCTCAATAACATTCTTCTCCCATGTATCTTCGGTATCAGACTTTGTCCAAACGATGCAATTCTTATCTTCTGATGTACTAGCAATGTAACTTTTTCTTAGTAAAGTCGGTGACCATGAAACGTCTTTAATTGGCCCAGTATGTTCTTCTAGAGTATGTTCCAATATATATTTCTTGTTCTCATCATCATATTTCCATATCTTCACTAGTTTATCAATACCACCGGTGACAATTCGTTGCTGGTGTTTCGTGGTCCCATCTTCTTCTACAGCTACAAAAGGAGACCAAGAAGCGGAAGTGACACCCAATGTATGAGCATTTATAATAATTGGCTTGCCTAATTTACGATCTTTCAATTCTGTAACGGAAACAGTACCGTCAGAAGAAGTTGCCAATATAATAGCACCGAATTCATGTGGGGACCATTCAATTGAATTAACTGATCCAGAATGTACAGATAGTGAATCAATCATTGTCCACTTACCTCTAACTTCTTCCCATATTATAATTTTACCATCAAAGGAACAAGATGCCAATATTTCACCAAATTTTGAATGTGCCCAGCTAACACGCCAAACTGGAGCTTCATGGCCCCTTAAAGTATCTAAAAGTTTGAAAGATTCACCGTCCAAAGCGAAGATCTTGACAGTTTTATCAGAAGAACAGGAAGCCAATCTTTTCCCATAATAATCTAAAACAGAATCATGAATAATGTCCTCATGTGCATTCTCTATAACAACCATTGTATAATTTGTTAGGATATTTGCGAACTTTTTTTTTTTCAAAACTTTGAAATCAAAAAAATTAATAGTTAAAATCGTAAAAAACAAACGTCTTTCCCAGAATCAATCTTAACAGTAACTAGTTAATCAATATATATATATAACCTCAATCAATGATTGGACCTTCAATTACGACTTAAAACACCTTTCGTTAAACCAGTTCATCATTTAGTTCTTATCCATTTATTGTTGAGTTCAACGGCTTTCATCGTTTATTTAAACGTTGTCAGAACAAATATCCAATATCCGGGTAAAGGTACACGTGATCAATACCATGTGATCATGTTGGATTTTAGTTTTGATTAACTGACGTGAATCACAATGGAAGAGGAGTAGAGGCTTTTTTTTGAGCTAATAAGTAACCCATTTCTAAATTGGTTTCATCATATTGCAAAAAATTGTATATTAAAATTTGGCTCTTCCTGTCTTTGCTGTTGAATTGGAACACCATTTACTCTGACATTCCAGCCGCGTCTTATTGCAATAGTTCTTATAATCATGCTTGTTATAAATATGACTATCATGAATAGAATTGAGAATAGGTCTTCCACATCTATCCCCATCGAATCAATATAATCCAATATCCTTTTAATTATAGGTTTGCTCATTTCTTTGTTTTTGTTTTGTGAATTGCTTTCATTTTGACCAACATTTTCTAATCCTGCCTTCTTGAAACTCAACATTAGCTTTCTAAACCACGATCTATGTGCCTCAACATTATTTCCATTTGTAGGAGTTGTTAGTTCCCAATATGTCTCACTATCTTTACCAGTAACCCATGAAAATAAAGATTTAATATAAAGCTTTAGAACAGATGCCTTACCTGCCAAATAAAGATTAGGATCGTGTTCGATTACCTGATTATAGTAATTTCTAGCTGCTGTGTAATTACGTTCGACACCTAACCCATATTCATACATATAACCTAGATTCCACATTGCTTGAGGAGAAAACCTCAGTGATCCACTTTGATACATTGACAACGCCTTCTGATAATCACACATATCGTAATATATATTCCCTGATACTGTTGCAGCATCAACATTATTTTGTTTAAAAGCCCTGTTGTAGTATGAAATTGCTAAAAACTTTCTTTCTTTGGTTGTTTCAGGTGGATCTTCTAATAATTTAGCAGTAGGATATAATAAATAAGCTGCTGACACTTGTGCGGCTTCGTAACCTTGTTCTGCTGCTTGTGAGTATGCCCATAGTGCTGTCTCGACATTACCTTTCGCCAATTCCCTGAACGCTTTCTCTAATTGTGGGGCCATTATGTTTTCATTCAATTCTACAAATCTTTTGAAAAGGAATGCCGTATTTTCACAACTATAATGATTGTTCGCTCCTTCTTCGACCATTCTTGCATATTCAAATGTGGCAGGAATATGTGATCTTCTATAAGCTGATTGCATGAAAACAAAAGGATCACCTAGTTCGAATTCAGGATGAGCTTTAGCAAGTTTCGATAGCTGATAATCTACAGTACCATCGTTGTTATTAGAATCGTATATATTCTTGTAATATTTTATAGCTTCAGGAAGATCATGTTTAAAATAATGGTTAATTAGACCTAGATCTATATTAGCTTTACTTTTAATGGTGCTTACATTATCGATTAAAGATATCGATTGCTTTAAGTAATGCTCAGCTAATTCAACGTTTCTCTTCTCCAGTCCATCTCCTGTAAAATATATATGCCCTAATAGGTACAGACATTTACCAAAGAAATATTTTTGTAAATTGTTCATAATAGGGACATCTAAATGATAATCTTTATAAGCTAATTCCAAAAGCACTCTAGCTGCTACTACATTTCTTCTCTTATCATAAGTACCTTGATATTTGTCCCAAGCGGTGTAATAGATATCAACAAGCCTGTCATCACTATCATCATCTGAATCTCCAACAAAGATACCTCCACCAAGGCCAAACTGAAGAACTATTTGGCCGCCATTCATTTGAGTAAGCATCGAAGAAGTCAATGATGGTCTAGCAGCATCCAATCTTGTGATCGAACTTGACATTGAAGAAAGGTGCTCACCTAACAAACCACCATTGAAATCGGGTAATCTAATATCAAAAGTTTCAAAATAAGAAGGCTGTATTTCCCAATCTTCATTTGGAATTTCATCTCTAATTTCCTCCGATAGTTCTCTATATAATAGCAATGCTAAATTACAATCCCTTGGAACATTAAGACCACTTGAATATCTGTAAGCCAAAGCTTGCTTTGCCCTTAAATCCCCTAATGAAGCAGCTTTTTGATAATATAGAACACTTTTACCAATATCAGTAGGTATGGTTCCAAAGAAACCTGTTGAATGCATAACAGCCAAATCAAATAGAGCTGTGCTATTTGTAAAATTCGTCATTTCATTGAATGCGTCTAAATATTTAAATGCTAATGTTTTATTCTGAGGAAACCCATAATGGCCCCACAAATTCAATTGGGCTAAAAGATAGGTTGCGTTAATATTATCAAACTTCTCAGAAGATTCAACCAAAAGGGAATATCCAGATTTTTGCCAATCTAATATAGATTCTGACCAAAATTGTAAATACAATTTCTCTTGAGTTTCAAGAGAATAATCAATGGGTATGAATAACTCTATATCATCGTAAAAACCATCATAATCAGCAAAAGTTTCAAAATCAGAACCTGGAGGTGGTCTATTCTGTTCGAATATTTCTATCGCTTTATTATAAGGATCTAGAATATCATCACATAGCACATTATTAAGAAGTCCTAATAAAATAGCACTCCTTACCAAAAGCGATCTCCCAAACATACTAATTACCAATATTTACAACTTGCCAGACCATTCGACAGCTTCTGATCATCCAATAAACCATAGTTTAAACACTTCTTACAACTTCTATATGGTTATCTTTTAAGTTTCTCTGATTTAAAGTTTGATATTATTACCTCCGGATACTATTTAGCGTTACATTTAGTATGCCATAGTTAAGGTTAGAGAAATCAGTTGTAAGGGAGACTGATTTTACATTACAACGAGATCGATCAAACTGAATTAATCAAGATACCTACAATATCGAGTTGAATGTGATTTGATGGATACTATTTGTGTATAGCATTCCATTTGGTTTAGAAATTTAAATATATTATTATTAGACTAGATCTTTATACAGTAAATGACGAAAGGAAAAAAATAGACAAACAAACAATGACAGTAATATCTTCATAATATTTAATTGTTGTTTAATATTCTAAGTTCCTTTTTAGTGTTGTTGTATATGTGTTGTCCAACAAATGGTGATAAATTACAGTTAGAGATTTCTGCCCTACTACAAGGGGAGGGGGGTAAGATGGATCTCTTGATTTCAGACTTATAAGTATATATTATGTGAATAAACCATATCAATAATAGATTGAACAATAATGTTGATGATTAATACATACAAATTTCATTTAGTTTAAATATAAATTATGTTGTCTTTTCATACCACAGAGTGGTTTCCTCTTGTAATAAATATCTCATTTCATAGATCGATCAAACTGACACCTTGATCATAGGATTGTTGCTGAGGTTGCTGCTGGTACTGTTGTTGGTACTGTTGTTGTGGTTGATATTGTTGTTGCTGCTGCTGCTGCTGTTGATATTGTTGCTGTTGCAGTTGCTGTTGTTGTTGTTGCTGCTGCTGCTGCTGCTGCTGTTGTTGTTGTTGATTACCAAAACCATAACCAGTATGTGAAGGCACAATGTTGGTGCTTGGTAATCCTGTATATTGACTGTTCAAAAATGGGTTATTCTTTGGATCATTCGTCACCTGTCTGTAACCTGTACCTTGAGAATTAATGAAAGTGCCAGTCTTTGTATGCTGTGCTGGAATACGGGCCTCACCAGTGTTACCAAATGTATCTATACCTGTACCAGATGCTAGAAGTTGGTTTAATTCACCAAATTTATCAGTAATATCTTGATTACCAGTTCTAGTTTGCTTTAATGGTTGCTGAGGTTGCTGAGGTTGAGGTGGTAGACTAATCTGTTGTTGTGGAGGCAATTCTGCAGGTTGGTAAGCAGATACAGGCTTAGCATTGAAATCTGGTAATTCACTATGTGCCTTATCATTTTGGTTATTCAGTTGTAAAGCTTGATTATTCATAGCAAATGGATTGTTTGAACCGGTTGCCAATGGTTGTTGATATGCAGCTTGTTGTTGGGCTAACAAAGCAGCTTGTTGCTGTTGCTGTTGTTGCTGTTGCAAAGCCCAGTATTGTTGTTGAGCTAGCAATTCTTGTTGAGCTAAGAGTTCTTGTTGTTGCTGTTGTTGAGCCAATAACTCTTGCTGTTGTTGCTGGGCCAACCATTGTTGTTGCTGCTGTTGTTGTTGTAATTGGTATTGCAAATACTCTTCTTGAGATATTGGGTTACCAAAAATATCATAATACATAGGTTGTTGCTGTTGCTGTTGCTGTTGCTGTTGCTGTTGTAGTCTTTGTAACTCTTGTAATCTCTTCAATTCTTCTTCTTCTTTACTCAATTGTAAAGCAGTTTGTAAGTCTGCTTCCTCATCATCTCTCATTCTTCTACGTCTATCATCATCTTCTGCTGTTCTCTTACTTTCTTCTATGGCTCTTTGTAACTCATCATCATCACTTGGTCTTCTTCTTGGTCTTGCACGTTCTCTTCTGCCACCTCTTCTATTCATTCCTCTTTCATCTCTCAATCTTTCTTCATCATTCAACAAAGAGGTCAATTCCTTAGCCTTGACCCTAATAATCTGACCTTGATCATGGTCAGAATCATCGATATAACTGAATTCTTTTAAAGTTTGAATAATATATAAATTTTCTTTACACCACAAAACACAGTTTTCACTACCAAATCTTACTAAATAATCTAAAACAGTCAAGGATTTGGCAATATGTTTCCAATATTTACCTTTGTCGTTCAATCTCTTATCCAACATATCCATAATCTCAAAGAACTCTACTGAATCGTAGGTTTTTTCAGCAAGGGCGTCCAATGTATCGATATCTGGACCACCAGAATCATTGGAAGTGGCATTTCTTACCATCACCTGAGTAGAGGAATAACCTTTAACTACGTTCTTCGCAGAACGAACAAACTGTTTTGGCATTTTTTTTTTTCTTTAGCTTTTTCTTTGTTCTCCTTCTAAAATCAAACCAAACTAAACTGAACTAAAACAAAAAACAAAGCAACCAAAACTAACCTTGGTTGTCTCCTCTTCTTCAAATATTCAAATATTCAAATCCTTTACACCTATTGAATTAAACAAACAAACAGAAAACAAAAATGTACTTTCCTTTATTCCCTTTTCCCAGATAGAAACTGCTAATAAGCCAATATCTGCACGAGCGGTTGTATGCTTTTCTTTTGTTTTTGCACAATAAGAGACAATAGCCCAAATAAATATACTACCACAGAATAATAGCTTGATCCAACCTTATACCAAATAGCATTAACTTCGTTAGATTAATCAAATAGTTTGCTTGTATCTCTTTGGTTCTTTTATACTCGTTAACCTTTAAATTTTTAAATTTTTGAATTTTCCATTCTATCCATTTCTTTTGCCCCTTTTCCAAATGGCTGCCTCTGTGTCCGGGTAAACACGTGATACATGGATACGACGCTCACGTGATACGCATGTGATGTTGTTGTTCATATGTGTATGACGTATTCAGTCTCAATCCCAATTACCACACATATACTCTCTTACCGGTGGGATAGTTACAAGTCATCACTATTATATACACACACATATACATATATTTGTGTATTTGTATGCGTATTTGTATAAGTATATGGCTGTCTTTTGTTTTGCAAGAGTAGGGTATCTGCCCTTATGGCAGTTACATCACTTGGAATATCCAAATTAATTATTAGATTTCGAACTCATCTGGTCCGTACATCAAAAAGTATTCTTTAGCCATAGATAGGAAATACAAATGTAGAATTTGCTTGGCAGTATGCAATTCTGTTCAGCTTATATAGGACTATCAAACGTCGTGCTCTATGACTTCCAGACTCTGGAACCAAGTTCTTGCACTTCAGTAAAGAGTTCCTATCGCCTCTCCCCATCGAAATAACAAAACCATATCGCACTCTACCAACGACAAATATAATAAATACATTCAAATTAACCATCACTCTCGCATCATTAACATCATACACCTGTTGTTATCATTCTATGTGACGCCAAAACCCTTCAATCTTTTTTTTTAAAATTAATTATCACGTTTACGCGTCTCTCTCATCTCAATCAAACACTTGCTGCTAATAACGAATTATTAGCTGTATTGAAAAATTATTGAAATCGATGAGATTGAAACCTATTGGATATATTTAAACTTATATAGGTTTTATTCTGAACTTTTCTTTTAATAGAGATTACTCAGTCGATGGCATGCTCAAAAGTTTGTACGCTACCCATTGGAGATATATAATCATGTCCGGTTCTTCTGCTGTAAATGGAGGTGGTGCTAAGAAACAAGCTACTTTAGCTAGATTTTTCAGTTCGATGCCAAAGAGGAAGATTGATGATGATTCTTCTACTGACTCAACCACTATCAATAAAGATGATGACTCTGATACTTCAAAGAAGATTAAATTAAATTCTGATGAAACCCCTACAACTAGTGCTGGATCAGTTACTTCAAAAGATGAACCTTCGTTAACTTCTTCCCCTCAGAAACCAATAGTCACACCTGCCAAAGTTCCCTCTAATACAAAACCTGTTAAATTCTTCTCAACTGTTCCCTATGCCGACCTTTGTGAAGTTTTCCAAGAGGTAGAAAGCACTTCTTCAAGGTTGTCTATCATTAAGATCTGTTCAGATTTCCTGATTAAAGTAATGAAACAAGACCCACAGAATCTGGTACCAATAACTTACCTTTTCATTAATAAACTAGGTCCTGACTATGAACCTGGGTTGGAATTAGGTTTGGGTGAAGGCTTATTGATGAAGACCATCAGCGAATCTTGTGGGAAATCAATGCAACAATTGAAAAATCAATATAGAGAAATTGGTGATCTAGGCCAAATAGCACAAGATGCAAGAAATGTTCAACCAACCATGTTTAAACCTAAACCTTTAACTGTTGGTGAGGTATTCCAAAATTTAAAAGATATTGCTCAATCTCAAGGTAAGGACTCTCAACAAAGAAAAATGAGACTAATCAAAAGAATGTTAACAGCTTGTAAAGGTGTAGAAGCAAAATTTTTAATTAGATCACTAGAATCAAAATTGAGAATAGGTCTTGCGGAGAAAACAGTACTTATTTCTCTATCCAAGGCTTTATTACTAAACGAATACGAAACATCTAAAGATCCATCTATGGAATTAATTGAAACTGCAGAAGAAAAAATAAGAGATGCGTTTTGCCAAGTCCCAAATTATGAAATCATAATCCAATCCTGTCTAAATGATGGAATAATGGAACTAGATAACAATTGTAAATTAAGGCCTGGTATCCCATTAAAACCAATGTTGGCAAAACCAACAAAGGCCATTAATGAAGTATTAGATGCATTTCAAGGGGAAGAATTTACTTGTGAATATAAATACGATGGTGAAAGAGGCCAAGTACATTTGTTATCAAATGGTGAGATGAGAATTTATTCACGTAATGGGGAAAATATGACTGAAAGATATCCTGAATTACATATTGAAGATTTTTTGGTCAAAGACGAATCTAACACAGATAAAGAGGTTTCTTTAATTTTAGATTGTGAAGTGGTAGCTTGGGACAATGAACAAAATAAAATTCTACCATTTCAAGTATTGAGTACTAGGAAGCGTAAAGGCGTTGAATTAAAAGATGTGAAAGTCAGAGTATGTCTTTTTGCATTTGATATATTATATTACAATGGAGAAGGATTAATAACCAAGACATTGAGAGAAAGACGTAAAATACTACACGAAGTCACAAAATGTGTTCCTGGTGAATTTCAATATGCTACTTCTTTAATAACGGCAGAACTTGACGAAATACAAAAATTCTTAGATCAAGCAATCAAAGATTCATGTGAAGGTCTGATGGTGAAAATACTAGATGGAGAAGAATCCAGGTATGAACCGAGTAAGAGATCTAGAAACTGGTTGAAGTTAAAGAAAGATTATTTGGCAGGTGTCGGTGATTCATTAGATTTATGTGTGATGGGAGCTTATTATGGTAAAGGTAAACGTACAGGTACATATGGTGGGTTTTTATTGGGATGTTACAATCAAGATAGCGGAGAATATGAAACATGTTGCAAAATTGGTACAGGGTTTTCAGATGAAATGTTGACGAAATTATATGAACTTTTCCGTGAGGAAGAGATAGAAGTTCCAAAAAGCTTTTATAATTTTGATTCTAGCGCGGAACCCGACATCTGGTTTGAACCTAAGGTGCTGTTTGAAGTGCTGACTGCTGATTTATCGCTGTCACCAATCTATAAAGCTGGTAGTGCGACCTATGACAAGGGTATTTCTTTAAGATTTCCTAGATTTTTGAGGATTCGTGATGATAAATCAGTTGAAGATGCAACATCATCTGATCAAATTATTGAAATGTACGAGAATCAAAGCCATATACAATCGTGATATTAGGAATTGTAAATACAGTATTTATACAGAGATAGATATAGATATATTTAAATTTAAAAGTAATGTTAAAAATCGAAATAAGAATTAATTTAAAAATAATTTTAAATACAAATATAAATTGAATGATAATATGTACAGGTATAGATGTGATTAATGATTGGATGAGAATGATATCATTTACCTTGAGAGAGTTTTCTCTTTTCGGCCTTCTCTCTCTTCCTTCTCTTTCTTAATTTATGCTTCTTCATTTTTTTCTTTCTCTTTCTCATTACAGAGTCTAGTTCTAAACTAACATTATTATTTGGTTCGGATAAAGGTAACCAGTTTATAATAGCTGGGTTTGGAATGTTGTTTGTGGAATCGAATTGGCTGTATGTTGATAAACACTGGCGAAACGATGGAGTGATGATTGAAATCGGAGATAGTTTGGTAGTACTTACCAATTTACCTACATTGAAGAATCCTTGTTTGGCGGAGACCCCCAGAACTGATCTAAACATCATCGGTGGTTGTCCTTCTTCCCCTCCCTGTAGTTCGCACAGATCTCTGATATATAGAGGTTCTATATAAGCGATTGAACCAAATAGACCTGAGACATTACTTGCTTATAAACGTACTGTGATGTATGTATGTATGTATGTATGTATGTGTGTGTGTTAAGGTATATAATTTCAAATGTATTAAAGATAATAAATTTTCATTTAGTCTATTCGTGAAGTATGATTTGATATACCGGGTAACTTTTTGTTTCAAAGGTTTATCCTAATTGGGTAATTGCAATTACTGAAGGCAGCGGCAGCAGCAACGGTAGGAGCAACGGTAGTAGCAAAAATCATGATAGCATAAAACGAAGTCAGCGTCGGTAACTGTTTTGGGTTATGTAAAAGTGGAGAGACATGGGTATATTATTACTACAACAACAACAACAACAACAACAACAACAACAACTACTACTATTATTATTAAATGGTGAAATAAACACATGGTCAAACCAATTGAGTTATGATGGTATAAATGACTTCTCAATTATGGAAGGCAAGAAAAAGAGAGATAGCGATGAAGGAGGGAGGGGGGAGGTTGTCCATATCGTTTGTGGTGTCGTATAACTAACTACCAAACTTGCCGTTGACAGAGGATAATAAATATACGACTACTGATAACGACACAAAAACTTAGTTATCAATTGAACTGAACTGAACTGAACTGAACTGAACTGAACCGAACCGAAGTCTAAAAATCGTATACGATGGAACAATTGATCAGTTAGCGTGTACACAAGAATGAATCTTTTTCTTTTTAATCTTTTGTGTCATCTTATTGTTGTTGTTACTACAATAATGTTCCTACATACACAAGACAAGAGCAGTACTTTTATCTCCGCAGGAGCGTCTGGTTGGACGTATGTAACGTCGAGTGAGGTACGCAAGCCACACAGACAAACAAACGGTCATCTGATTACGCGTTATCTCTCTTGCGGATGCCAGACAAAAAAACATTACCCAACAATAGAAGTAAAGTGACTATAGGGAACAAACCCTTAATTCTCGTTTAATACATATACCAATGCCTTTTTTGTGTAGCTTCTTGTTTTACTACTGTAGCTCCTTTTACTGCAAAAACAACAACAACAACACCAACAACCACAACCACAACCACAAAATATGTTAGACGGCAAGAAAGGGAGACACAAAAACTGATTACATTTTTGCAGAATTTCGTTATCTAGGAATATAACTTAGCCCAAAACCCAAAACCCAAAACCCAAAACCCAACCCACACCTCTTTGTTTCTACCTATCTGTCTATCTATTCTCCACTCCACTCTGCTTTACTCCACCATCCCCAAGAGTTACCCCGATACCCCGACAACAAACAGCACCCTTAATCAATGTAGTCATCTCTCCTCTTGTTATACCAATACTCTCTCATTAACTAACTCATCCATTCACATACTTCACCATATTGATCACTATAGATCAAATCAATGTAATATGTAATGTTGTATATATAAAAGGGTAGATAGATTGTAACATATTTATATCACCTCCATTAAAATGAGGTTCTATCCATGGCTGTATATCACTCCAACAACTACTACCTCTAACAGTAAACAGTCACATATTCTGTTACACTGTACCTTTATCACTAGTTACTCTATTGTGTCCTTTAACATTAGAATTCCCTTCTAGTGGTCTAGTATATACACATACATACATACATACATACATACATATATATATATATATATATATAGTATTATACATCCATATTTTTTATATAGAAGTTTCATTTAGTTTAACCTCTGCTTAGCTTAGTTGTTAGATATACTATTATACTGTGTTTCAAACTTTGTTTCTGTTGTATTGCATACTTCAGTCAATTTGTATTGTACCATAGTTAAATTAGTTTGTGCCCCCCACCTCCCTCCTCCATTATCGTTATATAAATATCAATAATGGAAAAACATCTATTAGACCCACACTACTCAGTATTGAAATTATTAGAAAATAATTTCAACAACCCCAACGATAGCATGAATTTGTCAGAATCATGGCAAATTCTTTCTTCTTCAAGTGAAAATTCAGAAGAAGATGAACAAGAACCTTTTATTACAGGCAGTGCCATCACCGTTACGAACCCTAATAGTAGTAACAGTAATTGCACATCCAACAATGGTAGCACTTTTATTATGCCAAAATTAATTGTTTCACAAAATTTATGGGATACTAACAATGACAACAATAACAACAGATTTTTAATCGTTGGTAATAATTCGCTATTTTTTTATAACGAAATTTTACCAATCAATTATAAGAAATTTTTTAAAATTTGGTGTTTGAATAAATTAGATTCATCAAATTTAATTATAATCATAAATGACCATAACGAATTATTCAATATTTTGCAAAAAATTTTATTGAATTCAAACAGGAAAAGTTGTTTCAATATTATCATAATTCTAATTATTGAAAAATTTAATAATTTAATCACAAATAGAAGGAAAATCAAATTGATCAAAAATTCAATTAACATCATTAATAAACAGTTTAATTTGAAAAAAATCAATTTTAATTTTTTTAACCCATCAATACTAATAATCTATAAAAATTCAAAACTAATTAATTATAATAAAAATTTCAATAATTTCCTAATATTTATCAAGAATTATTTGTCGAATTCAAAAAACCACACATCAAAGGATTTGATCAGTGCCAATGACAACATAATAATACCTTCACAACTACTAAATAAAAGGAAAAGATTGATCAAGAGTAACAAGAAGAAGAAAAAGAGCAAGAAATCAAAACTAAACAGTTTAAACAAGTATAACCAAAACGACGACGACGACGACAGTAATTCCACTGGAAAATGGTTATTTGTATATTATGGTATATCCATAACGTTGGGAGTAGGCGTTGGCTATTGTATTTCAAGTTTAGTAGTTAGTCAGAATTCAAATGACATCCAATCAATAGTGCCATCGACTCCAAATAACGATATAATTGCATTAGAGTCACAAGATTTAAATAGTCATAACGGTGATGATTACAATTGGAATTTCTTAAAATTATCAATCAAGAATGTTTATTCAATTTTAAAAAGATTTATCACTACTTCAATCAATCTATTAGAATACAAAACTTTAAATGATTCAAATAAAATAATAGCAATGAGTTATGTACTACTTTAGAAATAAACATTATTATACATTTTCTTCTGTTTATTATATACTAATATTCATAATTAACATATTAACATATATAAATATATCCAATCTAATCAATATAGGAGTAAACACATCAGGGTAACTACAATTGACATTTGATATGTTTTTGTTTCTTTTTGTGTAGCAACAACACAAACACAAACACAAATAACACGTCTATATCCATACAATTATATACAATTATATACAAATGCATACAAATACAACTCTCTAACGTTGTTAAAGAGACACACTTTCCAAATCTAAAAAGTCAATTCATTCATCTCATCTTATAAGCATTTAAAATCTTGTTATCACCATTTCACTTCAACCCCTGCACACTAAACCCATATTAAATCACACCAATTATATATACACCATTGAAACACCAAATTGGAACTGATTATAATACATTATATTGTATCCATATAGTGTAATATAGTGTAATATAGTGTAATATATTATATTCACCTCTGTCGTTAGCACCCATAGTCGTCGTTACCCTACCTCCCATCTACTATATTACCCTTTTCGTCATTCCCAGTCTCTTCTCTTCTCTTCTCTTCTGTCTCCCCTCCCCCTCCCCCTTCCCAATCCAGTCTGGTCCACTTCGGTTCAACTTCTAGCGTTGCTGTTTTTTCTGTTTTGGTTTTTCGGTTTTTCCTGTTCTTTTTCTACTAGCAACTTGTAACTAATTACAGGTATATTTTGGCAATGACGACATTAGCCAGTGGCTTTAAAAAATTTCAATTCTACTTTACAAGCTAAGCTAAGCTGAGTAAAAGAAACAAGATCAATTTTTTTCATATATCAACTTTTGTCAACTAATTGGTGTGCCTAAGGTGAACTGGATAATAATAAACCATACAATAAACCATACCATCCTTTTCATATTTATATATATACATATACATATACATACACCTACGCATAGATATATTAGAACACATCATTTTATCATTTTATCATTCCAATAAGTCTCAAAAGGTCTTCAGATGTGCTATAGTTGGAATCAAATTAGAAGATAAATAGACCTTCTCTTTGCGTATATTTTCGAGTATATATATTCACAATAATAGTAGTAATAGTAATACTACTACTATTATCAATTTAGTTATGCGACAGTCTTGGAGGAAAGCTTTCAAACCTCCTTATAGAATTACTATACGTGCTCAACTAACTGCATTAGTCAGTCTCGTTGCAATCATCTCATTAATCATTTTAGCAGTCACCACAGGTGTTTATTTCACTGAAAATTATAAAGAATTACGTTCAGGCAGACTAAATATCGCAGCCAAATTAAAATCTTCTCAGATCGATCAAACTTTAAATTACCTTTTCTACCAATGTAGATATTTGACTTCAAGAGATACTTTACAAAATGCATTAATCAATTATGAAGCTGGTAATAAAACTTATGAAAATTGGATAGAATCTGAAAATGTTGTACAGAAATTTTTATCTTCTTCTGACTTATTTTATGTTGCAAGATTATATGATTTGAATTTTAAACAAGTAGTAAATGCTACCAACAATGGCACTGGTGACTTGATCCCTAACGAAGTTCTATCTGAATTATTTCCATTATCAACTAACCAGTCTTTACCTTCTTCCTTAAATAACGATGGTATTCTAACAGATCCTGTTTTAAATGGAAGTATCTATTTAATGTCAATGTCTCTACCCATATTGACCAACCCTTCAATCATATTATCATCTTCAAGAGTGTATGGGTACATCACAATCGTCATGTCTGCTGATGGTCTTAAAAATGTCTATTTGAATAATACTGCTTTGGAAAATTCAAATGTCACTGTTATTTCTGCAATATACAATGACCAAGGGAAAGTCGATGGGTTCCATTTTGTTTTTGAAGTAGAAAATGACGACTTTTCAACTTTAATAGAATATCCAATCCAAAATGGAACTTACTTAAGTTCTGCTTTAGTAGAGGGAAAAAGTGGCTCAATTAAAAAAACAAAATACCCGTTCAATAGAGAATTAGCCATTGGTTATTCACCTTGTTCCTTCTCTTTATCGAATTGGGTAGCCTTAGTTACTCAACCAGAAGCAGTGTTTTTATCCCCTTCAACAAAATTAGAAAAAATTATTAGTGGTACAGTCGTCGCAATTGCAGTATTCGTTTGTTTAATCACTTTCCCATTATCTCATTGGGCTGTAAAACCAATCGTGAGGTTACAAAAAGCAACTGAATTAATTTCACAAGGTAGAGGTTTAAAACCAACATCAAATTTTTCTAATGGTGATTCCTCAAGTACTTCTGATAACTGGAGAGAAAGTGTAGAAAGTCATGTACGTGCATCTTTAGGAATTTTTAAATCATTAAGAAACAACGGATCTAATGAGTTACAATCAAATGATGACATGAATGAAATTAATGAAAGGTCAAGTAAGAATAATTCAACTGGTGATAACATAAAGTCAAGTGATAATGACTCTTCAAGTTCCTTCCAAAGGTATACTACTTCGAATTTAGTTCAAGCTAGGGTGCCGGTATATGGTAGATTTCTTCAAGATGAATTGTCAGAATTAACAGATACTTTTAATGCAATGACCAACGCTTTAGATCAACATTATACTTTGTTAGAAGATAGAGTTAGGGCCAGAACAAAGCAATTGGAAGCAGCTAAAATCGAAGCAGAAGCTGCCAATGAGGCCAAAACAGTATTTATTGCGAATATATCACATGAATTAAGAACTCCATTAAACGGTATTCTTGGAATGACAGCAATTTCAATGGAAGAAGATGATAGTGACAAAATTAAAGAAAATTTAAAATTAATCTTCAGATCAGGAGAATTACTTTTACATATTTTAACAGAATTATTAACATTTTCAAAGAACGTTTTAAAGAGAACCAATCTTGAAAAAAGAGATTTTTGCATAACCGAAATAGCATTACAAATAAAATCAATTTTTGGCAAAGTTGCCAGAGATCAGCATGTAAAATTGTTAATCATTTTAATGCCAAATAGAATAAGATCTATGGTATTATGGGGAGATTCAAACAGAATAATCCAAATTGTCATGAACTTAGTCTCAAATGCATTGAAATTCACACCAATAGATGGTAAAGTGGATGTCAGAATAAAATTATTAGGTGAATATGATGAGGAAAGAAGTATGAACGATGATTACAAAGAAGTATACATTAAAAGCGGAACCGAATTACCTATTGGAAATGGTAAAAAAACTGATATGGTAAGGAAAAAAATACAAGAACTTTCAGAAAAAGATTGTATTGAAGGTGATACTGCTAGTAGTGGTTCTCATATGTCAGGAAGTTCAAAAATTGACAAACTTATTGAAGATGAGGAAAAGAATTCATTCTCAGATAATGAAGACACTAACAATGATATTGAAATTTTATCCATGACAACTTCAAGCACAAGATCATACGACGATGCTGCATTACAAAGACAATTTAAAAAGACACCAGATTTAGATGACAAAGAAGAAACTTTGGGTGTTGAATTAAGCGAACCAAAAACTTGGGTTATTTCAGTGGAAGTCGAGGATACAGGACCCGGTATTGAGCCCAAATTACAGGAAGCTGTTTTTGAACCATTTGTTCAGGGTGATCAGGCATTATCAAGACAATATGGTGGTACCGGGTTAGGTTTATCTATTTGTAGACAATTAGCCACTATGATGCATGGTACAATGAAACTTGAATCAACTGTAGGAGTTGGTAGTAAATTTATATTCACGGTTCCATTGAAGCAAACTAGAGAAATACATTTTGATGATGAAAAATTTGAAGATGAGTTTAATGCAGAGAGCAAGAAAAATAGAAGAATTAAATTTAAAATTTACGACAGTTCAAAGTCGCATGACAGTAATGATGAAGATGAAGAAGGAATTAAATCATCAAGAGACATTGATTCATCAAATAATGAACATAAGGACGAGAATGGAACTAGTCCAGATAATCATAGTAAAGTCAGATTAGATAGACCATTTTTGCAAAGTACTGGTACCGCTACCTCAAGCCAAAAGATTCCTACACTAATTAACAAAGAGGACACTAATATAGAAAAGAGCATAAGAATTTTGGTTGCAGAAGATAATCACGTTAACCAAGAGGTCATCAAGAGAATGTTGAATTTAGAAAAGATAGATAACATCGATTTAGCTTGTGATGGTCAAGATGCTTTTGATAAAGTCAAATCGTTGGCAGATAACGAAGAATACTACGATATCATTTTCATGGATGTCCAAATGCCAAAAGTAGATGGTTTAGTGTCTACAAAAATGATAAGAAAGGACTTGAACTACAAGCACCCAATTGTTGCATTAACTGCATTTGCTAACGATGATAACATTAAAGAATGTTTAGACGCAGGCATGGATGGGTTCCTAGGGAAGCCTATCAAGAGACCAAAACTAAAGCAAATCTTACAAGAATATATTGATACAGAAAAGCAAATAAACTAGTATCAAGTTCATGAATCAGTAAAATAATAATAAAATCCAATGCATCGAATTTCATACATCATATATATCTTTTCAAGTACATTTTAAATAAGTCATCATTAAATAACAACTAATTGTAATTATATTATCATTATAATAGTTTTTGTTTGATTTCAAATCAACTTACCTTGTTTATAGATCTTGTCAATGTCTTCATATATGAAAAAGAGACATTAATACTGACCTATAGATTGCCGTATCAGAGATAATAAAGACTCATTATATACTGCAAATCTTCTGACTTCATGTTAGTTTGATTTTTTTTTGGATTGTCAGTTTGGTAGTATTGCAATCAGATACATCTACCGGCGCTACCATAATAAACATCACATGATAAACAAAAAATCAATATCGATTTTATTTTCCTTCCATAACAATAATCAACTTAAAAGACATAATAATTCAAAGAAGCTAATATAACTAAACGAACAGTTTGAAAGATGGAATTCTTACTCGAAACATCAGAGGGCATTCTATATTTACAGTTTGCACGTTTGGAATTGGTTTAGGCTGTTTTTAAAGCACATTTTTTGTCGAGGTCTTGGAAGAGAATCAAACAAGCTCTTTTTTTTTTGTAAGCCATATCCATCAAGAACCATATTTTTATTGCTGGTATATTTTGAATAATTGTGGAAAATTGTTCCAACAGAACCAATTATTCTATTGCATTTTGAAAATATTTTGAAGAATTCAATACGAGTACAGACTTCGATTGAGGCATACCAGTAGATAGAAGGACGGAAATTAACGATTAGAATAGAATAGGATATCGATACTTTCAAAAATAAATTGCTATTATGTCCAAGAATGAAATAAGTTTTAGCTCAATTTCTTTGGAAAAAGAGAATAATTCATTGAAAAGGGAAATTAAAAGGTTGTCTGATAAATATAATTTGTTAGAGAATAACTATAAATGGCTTAATGAAAGATTGGTTAGAGATCAAAAAAACTATTTGATAGATACGCATGATGTCAAATACTCTAGTAAGAATGATAATAAGCTCTATAATAGTCACAATAAACTATTAGAGTTACAGAAAGAATTCCTAATTTCTCACAATGAAAAGCTGTCTGATAGATTGAATGAAAATTCTATAGAATTCAACGATAAGTTCAATTCAGTAGTTATTGATAACTTAAACAATGAGAAAAATTTAATATTATTTGAAAAAAAATTGAACTTATTAAATGAAAGGTACTCCATCATTATCAAAGATCAAAAAGATGTAATTGACAATGATATTAATAATTCTAAATATTTAGAATTTAAAAGCTTAAATGAAAAAATAATAAAACAGAATTCCAACATGAAAAGCATGGAGTCTAAAATTGAAAAATTAAATGCAATAATCCATAATTTTATCGATATTAATGAATTTGATAACGAAAATACAAACAAATATTCATTAGATTTAAATGATAATAAGGTGTTAAAAAAGTTATTAGTTCATGAAAAAAATTCAAATTTAAAGTTACAAGAAGAATTAAATTCAATATTATTAGAATTGAACTTTAAATTGCCAAGTTTGACATCCTTGAAAGAGAAAAACCATGAACTACAATCAGTTTTTGAAAATATAATATCATCAAACGAAGAGTTATTACAACAATTCCATTCTAATACTGATAAAATAGCTTCTATGAACAATAAAATTGTGGACTATGAGCAGAGCTTGAAACAATTGTTAAGTCAACGTACAAATTTAATAAGCTATATTCTCAATTTGCTAAATGTTATCAATTTAAATTCTAAATACTTGAATTTGTCAGAATCAGAGGGCTGTTTAATTCAAAATTTGTTTAATAATGAAAGAATTCAAAGATTTTTACAAGAAAAGAATTTAACTTTAACTGAAATATTCGACAACCTAAACACAGTCGATATCACATTTAATAATTTTAACCGTTCCGATATAAAAGTTTTACCGCCAACAGAATCTGCTTCAAAAGAAGAAATTATTAATTATAAAAATGAAATAATACTCTTAGAAAACAATTGTGATGCATACAAAATGATTCTTTATAACAATGGTATTACAGAAGATTTAGATGAAAAACTTAAAATAGAATCGAGCTCTAGGATGACAGAATTAAACGAAAAGAATTCAAGAATTCAAATGTTAGAATCTAAAATTGACGAACTAAATTCTATTGTAACAAAATTGAATGAGAAAAATAGTAGATTTATGGCATCTATCAACAAAAACAATTCAAGTGAGTCTACAATTCTAGAAAAATACAATCTATTAAACCAATCATATAAGACCCTTTTAGAAGCTTATAAGAGCTTGAAATCGAATGCTACTGATAATAAAAAAGCTGTATTAACTAGTACTTTGGATGATACCAAAAAAATTGTGGAATTTAAATCGACAATCAATTATCTCAATTCAACTATTAAAAGTTTAAGTGCAAAGTTAGTTTCAATCCAAGAATCAAATGATCTCTTGGCCGATGAAAATCAAAAAATTAAAATGGAAAATAGCAATCTATCATCTTTACTAAATAAAATAAATACGGATAAAAATTCGATTTCTAATGAACTTTCTGACTTACATTCAAAAGAAATTTTGGAGTTGGAAACAGAAAAGACAAAATTATTAGAGCAACTTGAAGAAGGTGAAAGAAAATTAAAGGAAACCAATGAAAAACACAACGAACAAATAAAATGGTTCCAAAATAAGATTGATAATTTCAATGAAGAAACTACCAAAAATCAATTCAATAATGCTCTGAAAAATGATTACGAAAATTTGAAGAAAAGTTTTGAAGAGAAATCAAAGGAAGTAGAAGAAGCAAATGATAAATTTTCGAGACTTAAAAGACAAGCTAATGAAAGGTTAAATGCCTCAAAAACGACTCAGAAAGAGCTAAGTGATAATGTCAAAAGTTTAGAAGATGAAAGGACAAACTTTAAAGAGCACATATCAAAATTAGAAGTTGATATAAATAACTTAAATAATGCCTTAGTTGAAGCCGAGAAGAAATTATCTGAAGAAAATTTAAAGTACGAAACAGAAAGACAAACTGGGAGTACATTACGGTTGAAAATAGATGATCTGCAATTGAATGAAGATAATTTGAAAGAAAAAGTTAAGAACCTTGAAGAAAATGAGTCTACTTTAAAAGATAAAATTAAAATGATAGAAGGAAATGAAGATGATTTAATGGGAAAAATTTCAGTACTACAATCTAATGAGATATTATTGAAGGATAAGCTAAATGACTTAAATTCGAAATCGTCGAACAACTCGGAGCTGGTCGATGTGGAGGGACTAAAAAAGGATTGGGAAAAAGAATACAGTCACATAATAGAAAAACGAATTGAATATGCTGAAATGCAGTTAGAAAAACGTTTAAAATCTGAAATGGAAAGGGAAATGGATGACAAAATGAAGGTGGTAGAAATGAAAGGATTTGAAAGTGGAAAAGCTTCTTCTGAGAAAACATTAAATTTATTGGAACATAAATTGTCATTATTAGAAAAGCAAAATAATGAAAAATCAAACAAAATAAATACTTTAATTGAATCAGAAAACAATAACAAGACTCAGAAAATAAACCCTTTTACCTTTTCTTCAGTGGAACCAAAAATCAGTAACTTAGTATCTAATGATACTATAATAGAATTCTCTAAAGCTCCAGCTGTATCGAATAATGAAGGCAAAGAGACTATCACAGAATCCAATTCACAAATTGAAGGAGAATCTTCACATCAAATTCCTACGAAATCAGTTGAAGCTATAGATTCCCAGCTGAAACGTAATACAGATGAAGAATCTAATTCCATTGACGTTAAAAAGCCTAAATTAGAATAGTTATTTAGAAATTGATAATTTAAGTCTTCAAAATTATATAAATTCTAATAGAAATGTAACATTATAATTAACCGCGCTTTTCAAATAGAGCTATCTTGGAGCGTAGTTAAAACCTGGAGATCGAAACTTAAATAATCTTTAACTGAATTTATGTGTATTGTTAAGTTGTCTGTTCTTCCCTTAGATTTTTCCATCAAATCAAGCAGTAACCCATCGCAGCATATTTCAAACTTATGAGTATTGGAATTATTCATTTTCTCATCAACAATGATATCTATACCACTTTGTGATAAGTCGAGTGTTTCATAATAAGTATATTCATCTGTCTTTATGACATCACCTTTTCTGATTATGTATCCTTTCATTATCTTATCTACCAACTCAGCCCTTGACAATTTACTCGAGTAGCCCAACAACTGTAAGCTATTTTCCAGCACATTTGATTTTGGTGAAGGACAATATGTCAATTCTAAATTCGACGTATTAATTATTGCAAAGTAAGCATATCGTCTAGTTGATTTATTCACTTTGATATTTAGATCTAAGTCATACGTTTCCAATATCTCTTTTGCAGCAAGCTGGAACCTTTCTGTTCCCATTTTTAACAATTCAGGTCTACTACAAGCATGTAATAAAGTTGCGTGAAACCCAAGGGAAAGTATAATAAAAAAATAAATTCTACTGTCATCTGGAAATGTAGCCATATAAAGTGGGAAAATTTTTAGGTTTTGTCTCACCCTTCAAGAAACTCTGGAAAACATCTACTGGTGAGATAAAGCCTAGAGAGGTGGACCAGCATTACCCGTACCAATGGTTTAGTAAAATTGAAATATTTTTAATATTGTGCGATTGATATTAGCTTTAGGGGGTATTTTATTGAAGAAATTCCGATATGCTTGTGGTCCCCATGATACAAGCCCTATTGTATCTGGCTTATCATTGTCCGATGTTTTTGAAAACTCACCAACACTAGTTGGACCACATGATTTCGTATAGTGAATGCTCTACGTGTAATAATGCAAATATAGGCTTGATAACATTATGGTAAAAATTATTATTCGTAGTCCTACCAGTCCCTGATTTAACCGAATCAATAACAATAATATTTGATAACTTGCTTAACCAATCTTTGTTTGCAGGACATTGGGGACTTGTTACCAATTGACTCATCTTTGGCTAAGGAAAATGAAATATATTTTGACCCTTCTTTCACAACATCGACTGAATATAAATAATCTCGAATTGTAATCAGTTCATGATTACTTATGTTTGCGTTCATACCACAATCCAAGGTTTTGGTTCCGAATAGACAACTTTACGATATAACTGTGAATGACGTATCAAATCTAGCAGATGAAGGTGCAATTGAGATATCCATTGTATTGAAAGCCATCCAAATCTCACCTTTAATTACTAGTAATATTACATATATATCTGGATCAACATATTGATAATTATTTTCTCAAAACATGATGGATGATTCAAGTTAATACGGAGCAGTGAAGATTTGACTCTTCGAACAGAAATCAATCATAAGGTATTTTGAAAAAATCACATGTAACCTTGTGAACTAGTCACATGACCGTAAATCTAAAACGTAAATCAATTTTTAAAGAAATATTAATTGGTGCTTACATACTCACAACTATTTCAGTGTAATTCGGTCTTTTAAGGTATGGATGCTTTCCTATGAATGGTACTTAGATACTAGCACCCAATATCTTGTTCCAACTGGCATGATTCTAGTATATAATGAAGGTAGAATAATTTCGAAAATTAATCACAATAATAATGCAAATAATTCATTCAAGAGGAACCTCTTATGAAGTTGTAACGTATATCTAGCTATATATATGAACTGTGTATCTAGTGTTTTGAAAATCTATTTTATTTACCAATAAATCAGAAAAACGAATTTTCTTATTTGGAATATATCTTACCAATATATTGTAATATATGATTAAAATTTTTTTTGAATATATATATATATATACTTTTATTCATTGTAAACGATTCTTAATAATCAACCTTCATCATACCTTTACAACAAGGATATTATTTAAAATAGGAATATCGTTAATTAGCTAGCCACAGTCAAATATCTATAATCATTAACTAGCGTTTGTTTTCTAAAACCTGTTGGGATATCTTGAATTAGAGTCCAATCTGAAAATAATTTCGTTAAGTTCTTAATTTTCAATGAACTTATATTTAGTCAGAGTATTTTTTCAACATTTCTTACAATCATATTAATATAGGCAAATAAGTAATCTCGAATATGTGGTAACATAATAGCTTAATCCTTTTGCTGAAAAAATATTTCTTGTTAACATTAACTGCTGTCCTAAATTATCTTCCAAATATCAATTCTATTAACACCTTTTTCTATCAAGATATTTGAATGTTGGCTATGATTATTATATTAAGAAGTTAATTTTAAAACAATCACAGTAATTCCAAATTTATTGGTGTTATAATTTTATAGAACCGTCTATCTCATTTTAAAATTTCCATTGATAATTGATGAACTTTGTTCATTATAAAATTCAATCAAGTATCAATCTTATATAGATGGACTATTACGTGTAAAAATACTGTTCACAGAATTAGTGGATGGTGGTCCCATATTTGACTTACGTAATGGATTTGCACCTATTCCTAGGTGATTAGGATTTCTGCATATCGGGTTTCTGTTTAATGCTGGACTTGTAAATTTAGAAAAGTCACGACGTGTTGAGATTCCAAGGGGAGAAGGCGATGGAGATTTGGTATGAATAGATGTAGTTTTCTTAGCATCGTTTTCATATAATGGTAGTGATTTTTTTGTGTTATTATCTATCCATGGAAATAATCCTGTACCAAACCAAAAATGTTGAACAACAGGGAATTTATTTAAGACTTCTACCATATACATCTTCAACAATCCTGATTCTACTTTCGACCAATTATGAACAGATTGCGATATGTCATATAACATCGGCGAATGTTCAGAGAAGGGTCCAGATTTAACACAGTCTATAAATTTTATTGCACTACAATACATGTTAGTGTTTGCATATTCACATACCAAATCTTTATTAACTATATCCATTGGTTTTAATGGAGGATTATTCGTTTCACTCCATTGAGCACTTCCTAAAATATATGCAAAATGGAAATGGTCGTCTAAACCCCAAACACCATGCGAACCTGCTGGTTCTAAGGTGTAAGTAAGAATCAATTTCTTCATTAATTTATAATATTCATTAAAAATAATTAATAAATCTCCACCTTTGATATTTTCTGTCCATAATCCCAACATATCAATACCAGCAATCACCGCAATAAATGATAGCTCGTGACCAGTACCATAATCTAATCTGGTAGAGGATCCAAAACTATTACCCAAATAATAAGACAATTCAACTACCGAATCTTTGCATTTGGAACTAATATTCTGTTTATCATCAGTTAACATCTTCATTAATAATGATTTTAAATTTAGATCAACTTTCTTATGCCATTCTCTACATGATAAATTTCCAAATCTTCTAGGACCCGGTGCTGGCGGTGTCTCATCAACCAATAGAGACAACTCTGAAATCAGTTTTACCAATTTATTAACAGTAGGGATTTCTGAAACATAACTCTCATCAGGGATATCAACATTCGGTACTAGTTTGATATATTTTGAAATGAAATATTTTAATCTAAATATTGCCACTGATGATTGGAAAAGTGAAGTACCTTGAGAATCATAAATTCTTTTAACAGGAAGACAAAATTCTATGGGCTCCTTATTTAGTAATGGTTGCTTCATCTTCATTTCTTGCAAATTATTAAATTGAAAGTCTATAATGGCTACACTATTAAGAACAAAAAATGTTTCAAATAAATATTGTCAACTCTATTGCTTAATATCTTTGACCATCAGCAAATTAAACTAACATTAAGCTAATCTAAGCTAATAGATCATTTAATAAATATAGTCTTTGTTCATCTTATCCAACCCATCATTCTTATAACCTTCCTTGAATTAACATCCACTGATGCCTTTCTTATAGTTAGCAGTATGGAATTTTTCATTACGCGATGGACTTTAGAAACTACTTACTACGCCTATATAGAATAAAGGTGATCCTGTTCATAGCAAACAGACCAGATAGACGACACTGGAAAGCAAGTTGATGAACTGTTGACAAGAACTTCATAGAGAAGGTGCATATTGGAATGTGATAATGGGTTACTAATTAAGCCATTTCATTTGGAGAATATTCATTTTTTATGCTATCTATTTAATGATGGGTTTTTTATATATAAATTATTAAAACTTGATCATAAACCAAACATCTATCTATTAGTGAATGGAATACAACATGGAATATAACTGGATATGATGAGTAGTCATTTCTGTGAAAGCAAAGTAAAAAATAATAATAAAGTGAATGACACAATGCAATATTGATTGAATTGATATTAATTATAGACCCTTTCATAAAATAAGACGTAAACTTGACTACTTGAAACTTTTATTACACCTTCATCAATATTACCATGATTATTTTCTTCTTTTACTACTTCGTCGTCAAAATAGTACCATTTTTGTTTATCTTTCTTTAATTCATGGTTTTTTTCTTTGTTGACTAAGGTAGTATAATGTCCGCTTATTAAATTACCAGTATGATTAACAATACCATATAAACGATATTTCGCAGTTTCATTATTATTAAGAACAATGTTTAGTATTAGTGGATATGTTACAATTGTTTCATTTTTTTTGCTTAAATCGTAATAAAATCTTGACAGATGTATAACTAGCGTGGGCGGAAGTGAAATAAAATTCATTGATTTTATTGTCACTAGCTTCTTGTGTTTTAACTTCTCATGAGGTGGTCTAGGACTAGCAGATTTCCTGAATGGGGATATTGATCTACTAGATCTTCCATTTATATTTGGTAATAAAAACAGTCTTGATTTTCTAGACCTCTTTTTTTCCTCACCGTTACCAGTAGTTTTATCTTTTCTTTGTTCAACATTATGAACTGAACTGGACCCACAATTAGAACAATCCCATGCATTTTCTCCACTTAATACTTCGTCATTGGTGAACATATTAATACAATCTTCCAATTTTACTCTTTTTGATCTAGAAAATGTTCCTGAAGATGGTTTTGGTATGGCTAATGATAGAACATAGAATGTTGAATAATTATACGATACAAAACCACAACGTTGACAGGTTAGTGTATTTTCAATCTGACCTTGAAAAATATGATCAATTGGTGATAATCCATTCGCAAATATAGTTTTATCAAACCATTTACTATATTCTTTATTATTTACCCTCAACTTCCTTGTATCATAAAGAACTAAATCAGGGTAGTCAATACCTACAGTCTCTTGATTAGATAACTCATCATGAAGTCTATCTAACATTAACATCAGAAATTCTTGTGTATCTTGTTGATCATCTGGAATCCTTAGATCTGGCCGCAATTGATTACAGGTCTTTAAAAAACTTGTTGGAACAACTGAGCAACCACCATTCAAGTACATCTTCTTAAATAGGATACTAAAAGATCTGGAAAGATTAGAGGAACGGTCAATTCGTTTACTTAAATATTTTTCATACTTAGAAGAGATAAACAAATCTCGTAGTAATTTGGTTCCGAATAGACACTGGACCATACTGTTGATATAACATGTATTACCTAGATTTCTTAACC